CTTACTGTATTTTTCAGCGCCTCGACGGCATTGTTGTACTGTTGTTTGAGCATCGCATTTTCTTTTTCACTGCACTTGCAATAGCTCAGTCAATATAGCTCAGCTTCAGTCCACAGTGGGAAATAACAAGCTGTCAGTCTAAAATGGTTTTCTATAAACGGTTTTCAGATAAAAATACCGTTAGCCACGGAAATTTGATGTCATGATCTTTCCACTGGCACAATTCTCGCACTTTTCAATATTCTTCAATATAGCATACCGACGCGCGTTTTTCGCGGATTGATTGCACCAACGCGCAAGCTTGGCATGCTTAGAGCTTTTCATACATTTGACAGTGTTGTATAGTAGGGCATATGACATTATAATATACATTACTAGTAGAATATCGCTCTGAGTCGTTTGGTGCACAAAATATTTATTTGAGCGCTTTTTACCATATGTGCGTTAGACATAATAAAAATGTTTGTGAGTAGTAGTAGGTTCATTGGCGCATAATATTGCGTCTAAGTCTGCCGTGCGTTTAATAATATTTATCAGCCGCAAAGATAGCTAATAATATATTGTATTACTAACATATGACTAGTGTAATGGTTGTTGGTAAGCATTTATTAAGTTTAGTTGCTGAGTCTTATAATGGTACACTATAACAATATTACTGGTTTCATTACGTATTCGTCATTTATTCTTATAGCCAATATCAGACAATGGCCGATGGGGACCAAAGATTAAATTCAATAACAGAGTTCTTTCGAAATTTAACAGTCATTGAATTCGAGAAAAGACAAAGTATTTGTCATGACTGTGCATAGCGATTAGGTTGATTTGTAGTGATAAGATATTTTATTAAAATGAAATAATAGTACTACTGCAATACAATATCATCGTGATTGAAATAAAACGATATTTTATTTATATAGCTATTAATATAAATACATATTTTGCTTGTGGGGGTTTTCATTTATTTGCCAGCCCTTTCGTAAATGCTGATTACCACTATACCATTATCAAAGCATAAATGCATAATACCAAACACGAAAACAACATTTACGAAATTTGGTAAATAAAATGCAGAAATTTTACAAATAATGTTAAAATATGTATTTATGACAAAATTATGTAAAACATATAAAATAAAATATGTTTTATTTTATTGAAAATCACGTGAAATTAATTTAATATCTCTGCAGTAATTTAATTTATTATGTTTTGTAAAATTATATCATACAAATCCAGCCCCAGACTAATAATACTTTTATCCATGACAAAGACTTACTATTTTGTCTTTGTATTCAGATTCAAACTGGATGATTTACTGAAAATTTGTTAATTTTACTAATCTTTAAGTCCCACTGCATTGTCTATTAATTTAAATATAAGAATAAATGATGAATACGTGCAAATTAAGTAATATTATTATTTATAAGTGTATATTATAAGATATATTGTAATATAATAAACTAATAGATCTTAACACAACACATTTTCAATAACTGTCTACTTTTAGCGTCATATTAGATGTTAGTAGACCTCACAATATTATTAAAATATCTTGCAGCAATTAAAATATTATTATTAAAACACTATACGGCAACAATGGACTGATTTTAGTTTAATAAGTATGCATATTAATATTGACTGTAATCCTTCTCACAAACACATTTTTATTGTCTAAACGCACATAGAGTGTATTTCGAAAAACAATAAATAGAATATTTACGTTGCACAAACGATAGAGCGTGAAATTTACACAAATTAATGCATATATGAAAATGTCAAAATGACTTATGCCCTTTCTCACAAACACCGTCCAAATGTATTAGAAGAAATACAGCGTACCCATTTAAACGCGCGTTAGATTGCAATCAATCCCAGAATATTAAGACGTTTCACGGGAAGAAAACGCGCGTCTCGGTTTACCTTATACTATAATTTATATGAAAGTGAAAAGTGGGGTTGGTATTATCGAAAGATCGAGAAAATCATGATCGTCAAATCCATTATCGCAATTGTTTTATCGCGAAACCGTTTATAGAAAACCGTTTTCGTTTGATAATTTATTATTTTCTACTTATATGGACTCGAACGAATGTATTGATACTGAACTATTATAAGTGCAATTGAAAAGAAAATGCGATATGGAACACTCAAACTGTTGAATATAGCTTGAGAAATGCCAAATCAAAGGCCTGGAAAATACAAGTAAAATATTTACGATAATTTTGGAGATAAACCAGTAGCAGAAAAATAACATTGGTAAGCACCTGTACATAAACTGATACGATTACCCATATTTTTATATATACCATAAATTTTACAATTTTATCTATGTAGTGAAACTGATGCTTATAATTTCAAATCAAATTTAATAACCATTATAACCAGTTAGGTATGTCTTATGAATTAAATATACCTATCAAACAAATCTTATAATATAAAACGAAGAATAGTTGCTACACGGTCGCCGATAGGTTTAGTGTCCGACCAATCGAAAATTACAATTTTTCTTCCAGTCGTTGTCCCATATCTCCCTGCCGTCGTCTGATCGGTTGGTCTATTGCATTACCTGATTATTGTTTATAGTCGTTTTTCCACTCGCCCAGTTTTCGTCCTCGAGACCCTTCCGTCGTCGTACTCGAGTCGCCATAGCCCAGAGCGGGTCTTTTCGTCCGTCGCGCGCGCGTTTCCACCGTTTAGCAGGTCGTCGCCGTCGCGCTCCGAAAGCGTGATTCGCGGCGCGTTCGCTCCGTCGTCGCGTCGTATCGTACTACTGTTAAACGTTTTTCCTGTCTCCTGAAAACTAGTGAATTTTGACTTGTGCCCTTTCTCACAAACACCGTCCATTTCATAAACGCGCGTCTAAACTCACGCGTTTAAAAATGCTCGTGGAAAAGGGCACTAGGTCATTTTTTTCTAATTTAAGTATATCATGCTAAAATCTGCTGTCACATAGAATTTGGAACACTCTGTATACTAGAAGCTAAGGTAATATATATTTAGTTTATAAAATAAAGAAATAGTAATATAATAATAGTTATTAATTAATTTGAAGTTGTTCGATATTTTTCTGAGTTATCAGCGTTATCAACTTTTTTCATTGAGGTATGTCAATTTGATGTCCTTATTCATACAATTTAATTTGGAAAAAATTGTATATGTTTCCTATACTGTACATTATCAATTCGTTTGAAATGTGTACCTTTTATAGATTCGTACTACTGCAAATATTCGATTTTTACTTTTTTACACATGAGTTCCCGTTATCTACACGGGCACCCGGGTATCTAGACACAGCGTTATATTATACACCCGTGATTAGTGATGGGAATAATCGAATGATTTCGATAATCGAGTAATTCACTCGATTAAAATAATCGAGAGAATAATCACCGAGATATAATAATCAAAAAAATGTAATCATATAGATAAGAATCATTCAAATTATAATATTAGTAATATTACTCAAATTTATGCTCGATAACATGTCAACTCTACTCGAGATCTTTAAAATATTTTAAAGTACTACTTCATAAATCTTGAGCTTTACTGGCTAAGTATGGAATACACCATTATATACTCGATAGCTGTGCGCGTCACTCGATTGTCAATAATCATTAATCAATATAGGTACCTATGCATATAAAATAAAATAAACTAAAATTAATACTATTTTTTAATGTTTAAATATAATGAAATTGTCATACAAAAATAAAATAAAATATATGAAAAACAATTGATAATTTATTTTATTTGTACATATGTTTCAAAATACTAATAATAATATTAAATAATTTTAAAGGTTTAACTTTTAATTAATCAAATGTAATTATCTGTAACATATTTATATATTATAATATTATCAAAAAAAAAAAAAAAAAAATCTGTATTTATATAATAAATAATATTTTAATTATTAATAAATTATAAAAAATTGCTTCAAGATAAAACAATACAAAATAGTAAATATTATTTACATGAAAATAAAATAAATAAAAAACTGACAATTCTTTGTCTTAAACATATTAAATTAAAATAATGATTAATCAAAATTTAACATAAATAGGTATAATGATAAAAGATAATTAAATGATTATAAAAGATGTAAATTACTATTTAAAAAAATTATGTAGTTTAAGTTTTTTGGTGACAGTTTATTTCGACGATCATTAGCAATCCAGCTTTCGAAAAGACTCGCTCAGAAAGAATTGAAGTCGCCGGTATACAAAGATATTTTAGTTGAAGTTTATATAATTCGGGCAATATCATCTTGTGATGTTTCCAAAAATCCAAACTATTTTTTTCTCGATGTAAATGAGGTAATTCTGAATATTGACGCATCATTAATGTTGCAGAAACATTTGAACATATGACACTTCTAACTAGTGGTGTCACTAATATCCGGATTCCAATACTATTCGGATAATCCGGATATTCGAATCCAAATAATAAACGGATAAAATCCGAATTATCCGAATAATCCGGATATTTTAAACTTGTTGATTAATTATTTGTTATTTAATTTATAGGTATTAGACTGTTTTATTTAAAACGGTAAAACTTAAAATTTAAAAATAATAGTTTGACTCAAAAATGTTAGTAAAGTTATATCATTTTATCAAAATATGTAATTATTTATCGTTGTGAGCATTAAATTATCTCAAACATATTAGGCTTTAATACGTTTTTGCAATGTAAGTTTTATCGTATTGTGGATATTAGTGTTAGATTATATTTTGATTAGATAAAATTATTTCAACTGTCGATTTTATGATCGCTCTAGTCGTAATGGCATTTAATGTTAATTTTTGTTCTGTCTGTATTTTATTCGTCAACTATCAACATCATAAGACAATATTAATATAAATATTTACTTAATTATTTTATTTTATATTATTATCGTTTGAACAATAACTATGAATCGTAGTAACGTTTGGAAATATTTTAATCGCGGTGAAACAAATGAAACAGCGACGTGTAAAATATGTAGTCAAATTTTGAAAAATATGGGGTCTACTTCTTCTTTGTGGTATCACTACAAATCGTGGCATAATACTAATAATGGAATCGATGCAGTACAATTAACTGAGGAGAGGTAAGCCATCATTAATTATTTTATGTTAAAAATAGGTAATACAACTATTATATAATATTCTTTTTCAAATTTCTAAATTTTAAACTTAAGTAGCGAAACAGAACAGATATCGACATCTTCAGATATGTCATCTTCGACATCAATACCAACAGTAGTATCACAACCACCCCAAAAACGTTTAAAGAGATCTCATGTTTCAACTGCAATTAAATTTAGACCTGTAGATAAAAGTCGTGCCGAACTGATTACTCAGAGTATTTGTCAAATGATTACAATGGATATGCTACCATTTAGTACGGTAGAAAACAAAGGATTTCGAAAATTGATGTCAGTTATTGAACCAGACTATAAAGTACCATGTAGAAATACAATCATCGTTCGTATTGAAAAAATGTATGATGATAAAATGATGGAACTAAAGCGTAATCTAGAAAATATAAAAGGTGTAGCATTAACTACCGATGGCTGGACGTCTTTGGCTGTAGATTCTTATATAACATTCACATGTCACTACTTTAATGAAAATTGGGAACTATGTACTCAAGTATTAGGGTTTGAAGAAATGCGAGAAAGCCATACGGCAGATAATATACAAGACAGTTTAATTAATATTATTGAAACATGGAATTTAACCGGTAAAGTCATAGGGATAAGTCACGATAATGCTGCAAATGTAACTAATGCTGTACGAAACTTACAAGAACGTGATATTTATTCAAGTCCGTGTGCCGCCCATACATTGCAATTATCTATTAATAAAGGTTTTGAGAATAGAATGTGTAGCCATTTATTAAAATTAGCCTCGGACATAGTTGCTGCTTTTAGGCACTCTCCAAAACGAACAAATGCTTTAGAAAACAAAATCAGCGAATTAGGACAAAAAAAATTGTGCTTAATACAGAGATGTCCGACTAGATGGAATTCTAGTATGGATATGTTAATGCGTTTACTAGAACTTCGGCCAGCTATTGTATCGATAATGTTAGATCGTACATTATTCAACACAAAAACAGCAAAAAAATTAAAAATGCTCGAAGAAGACTGGGAGTACTGCCAAATATTGGTGAAACTTTTAAAACCACTGCAATTAGCTACGACAGTTTTATGTTATGAACGACAAGTTACAATATCAATGGTAATTATTTTACATTCATTTTTTGATATATGATAATAATAAAATGCTTTATTTAATATTATAATTTAATAGGTAATAGTAAATTTATGAACATAATTGAATTATTAAATTATTTAGAATAATTATATTTTAAAAATTTTAAAAAAGTTATTAAGCTTTACAAAATTCAACATTAACAAGCTCAAAATAGTCAAAATTATATATATTTATCTCTAAATTTTCTCTAAAAAAAAACATTTTATTATAAAACCAATAATTTTTGTATATCGCTCAGAATTAAAAATATTAATAAAAAAAACATATTTTTTAGATACGGCCAATTGTTAAAAGCCTTATAGAAAAGCATTTAAAACTCGAAGATACAGACTCAACACTAGCAATGGTGTTTAAAGAAACAGTGTGTAATGAACTACGTCGGAGGTTTAATATTGATTTTGAAGAAGAAAATGGAATTGCAGCAGACATTTATTCAGAATATAGGGAAGTAAACATAGCACAAATTGCAAGTTTACTAGATCCTAGGTACAAGAATTTACAATTTGAATCATCAGATCGTATACGAGAAATTATTAAACAAAAAATTCGTTCAAAGATACAGTCAATTAGATATATATCTGAAAATGAAAACACCTCAAATACTAAACAAAGTACAGTATTAGATGATTTATTGGGGATAGTTCCACTAAATTCTGAGGATGAATTTTCGAGGTACTTGGCTGAACCACAAATTAATCATAATGATGATCCGTGTTTGTGGTGGAAATCGCGTGAACTTACGTTTCCTTTTTTATCTGTTCTCGCGAAAAATATTCTTTGTATACCGGCTTCTTCGGCATCTTCAGAACGTGTTTTTTCTACTGCTGGATCAATTCTATCCCCAAAGAGAAATAGAATGACTCCCTTTCATTTATCAGCCCTGGTATTTTTAAATAAAAATATTTGATTCTAAACTAGACAAATAAAAAAAAAAAAACTATTTTCATTATTATAGTGTGTATCCCATTTATACTTAAAATTGCATTAAATGTGCCCGTACGTTAAATTTATTTATTGAAAAAAATATTATTATATTGTGTTGATATGTGTATAATGTATATCGTATTACTTATTTATTATATATTTATTACGTATTAATTATTTTTACCTCTGTGGGTCGGGGATTAGAATAGACCCACAGTAACTCCTGCTTATCGTAGAAGGCGATTAAAAGGAGGTAGCGGAGGGCAGCAGTAACCGCTACTACCGACCGTTGGCGAGTTTTACAGTAGAACTAACGGCAATGGAAGGATTTGACGGAGGCAGTTTGGGCATATTCCAATCACTGGCCTTTCAACTGCAATGTGGAAGGAGAAGGATACCACCACATTAGAACTCCTAGTAAGCAATATGAATCGAAGTTATAAAGAGATGGAAGTTACTAGACCAGATATATTCGGAAATATCAGTTGTCTCGGCAGGAGAAGAGGCAAGGCTTCTCAGGTCGTCAGCAAGCGAAAGCCTTGCCAAAACATTGGAACGTGGACTGTGAGAACTATGTTAAATACTGGAAAGCTGGAAAATATTAAAGTTGAAATGACAAGGTTAAACATAGATATATTGGGTGTAAGTGAAACACGATGGGCGGGAAACGGAGATTTCTGGTCCGATGATTACCGTGTTATTTACTCTGGAGGTGAAAGAACAGGAAGAGCCGGAGTTGGAGTAATAATAAACAAGAAATGGGGACAACAAGTGATAAATAAAATAGCGTACAATGACAGACTTATAATGGTGAAAGTCAAAGCTGAACTCAGCGATATCGTAATAATTCATGTATACTTCCCAACAACTGAAGCAGAGGACAACGAGATAGAAGAAATGTACGCAGGACTCGAGGAACTCTGTAAATTAACGAAAGGAAGTGACAACTTGATAATAATAGGGGATTGGAACGCTGTTGTAGGTGAAGGTGCTGATGGGCAAGTAGTAGGAGCCTATGGATTGGGTACAAGGAATGAAAGGGGAGACCGACTTATAGATTACTGCAAGCAATATGACTTAGTCATAACAAACACATACCAAAACATTCATCGGAGAAAAAGGTATACGTGGAAAATGCCAGGGGACATTGGACGATACCAAATCGACTATATATTGGTAAGAAAACGCTTCAGAAACCAAGTTAAGAGATGTAAAACTTATCCAGGCGCCGATGTGGACAGCGACCATAATCTCTTAATGATGAAAAGCAATGTTACATATAAAAAATTGAATAAACCTACACAAAAGGAAAGAAGATATGACGTAAATATGCTGAAAGATCGGAATACAGCGTTAGCCTATGAATCGTGCATCAGTAAAACATTCAAAGCACCCTCACAAAATGATTCAATTAATATAAGATGGGAAGCAATCAAAGAAACTATACATAATGCAGCCAATAAAACTATTATAAGAAATACGTTAGATCCCAAAAAACCATGGATAAATGAACAAATTCTAAGAGATATTGAGGAAAGAAGAAAGTACAAAAACTCCAAAGACAACCAGGGAATAAGAAAATATAAAGAACTTAAAAACAAAATAAACAGAAATGCAAAAGAAGCAAGGGAGAAATGGCTAGAAGACAGATGCCATGAAGTAGAACTATTAATAAAAGAAAACAAAATGGACCAAGCGTTTAATACAATAAAAAAATTTGTCAGTAATAAAACTAAAGTCAACAATAAAATAAGAGATGAAAACGGAAATCTACTAATAGACAACGAAGACATTGCTAATAGATGGAAACAATATCTCGAAGTTCTATATCAGGGTGAAGAGATAACTAGCCTACATAATGAAAGTAATCCAGATAATGAGGGTGCACCAATCCTAAGGGAAGAATTCAACCAAGTCCTTAAAATGATGAAAACTAGGAAATCTCCAGGTGTAGACAATATATCATCAGAATTGATCCAAAATGCAGGTAAAAAAATCCAGAACGAATTATTTAAATTGGTTAATGACATCTATATAACTGGAGAAATACCGGAAGATTTTAAAAAAAACATAATAATTACTCTCCCCAAGAAAGCAACAGCTGAAAAATGCAGTGAATATAGAACCCTGAGTCTGATGATACATTCGGCTAAAATCCTAGTAAAAATAATAGGTAACCGGATAGAACATAAAATTGAAAGGCATTTAAGCAATGATCAATTCGGATTTAGAAGAAACATGGGTACTAAGGAAGCGATCTTAAGCCTAAGGACATTAATTGAAAAACAGATCGAATTTAACAACGACACATTTATCGCATTTATCGATTTGGAGAAGGCATTTGACACAGTTCCCTGGAAGGAACTTTTTAAGACATTAAAAGAAATAGACATTGATTATAGAGACAGACAGCTAATATACAACATATACAAAGAGCAATTAGCTATAATAAAAGTGTCAGACAAGTCTGCAACAGCCAAAATAGGAAAGGGAGTAAAACAAGGGTGTCCACTGTCACCAAAATTATTCAATATTTATGTAGAACAATCTATCAATGAAATTAAAGAAACATTCACTAGAGATCAAATTGGAGTGACAGTAGGAGGAGAATTGATATCATTTTTAAGATTCGCCGATGACATAGCTCTTGTTGCAAACAGCGAAATCGATCTCAAAAGAGCGTTAGAAGAAATAGCAAAGGACTTCCAAAATTATCACCTTAAAATCAATTGGAATAAAACCAAGATAATGATGTGTCAAAAAAAGAATCGTATTCATAGATTAAGAATTAAAATTGATAACCACATTCTCGATCAAGTGGAAAACTTTAGATATCTAGGTAGCATAATTAGCCAAGATGGAAAATGTACTATGGATATAAAAGCAAGGATCGCTCAAGCAAAAACAGCATTCATGAACAAAAGGAACCTACTGTGCTCTAAAAACATGAGTATACGTGTGAAGAAACGGCTGATAAAGGTATATGTGTGGAGTGTCGCACTTTACGGATGCGAAACATGGGTATTAAACAAAACGGAACAAAAGTTCCTTGAAAGCTTCGAGATGTGGTGCTGGAGAAGAATGTTGCGAGTAAGCTGGGTAGAAAGAAGAACTAACGAAAACATTCTAAACGAAATAAATGAAACCAGGAAGATACTTAGCACCATAAAAGAAAGAAGATGGAATATGATTGGTCATGTCTTAAGACACGAAGAAGAACTTCTGTATATTATAATAGAAGGGAAGATGAATGGCAAAAGAGATCGAGGACGACCAAGAACGTCTTATATCAAAAAGATGATTTCCGATGCAGGTCTAGCAAACTATAAGGAACTGAAGAGGCTAGCTGAAAATAGAGATGAATGGAGAAACTTCGGAAAATTGCAAAACCAACCTTAGGGTTGATTTACTAAAAAAAAAAAAATTAATTATTTTTATAGTTGATTTTGCTATGATTATTATTTATTATAAATGTTAAAATTATTGTTATTATTTAAATATTTAATATTTGCTAAGACATGATCTATATTCTTAATATGAAATAAAACATTATTATAACTACTACCAACTGTATCAACCGTCAACATATTTTTAAAACCTTCCTTTATAATAATTAGATTAGATATATGAACATTTAAATTATTCGAATTATTCGGTTATTAAATTTTGAATTCGGATATCCGGATTATCCGGATATCCAAAAATCCGGATTTTTGACATCACTAGAATAGAGTACTTAAAAAAAATATTTGAGTTTCGTAGAAAAGGTAGAAAAATAGTGTATACTGACGAAACTTATGTATTATTATCACACGTTGTTAATAAATCATGAAGTTCCGTCGATGATGACAATACAGTGAAACAAAGTTTAAGTAAAGGAAAGCGTTTAATAATTGTTCATGCTGGAGGAGAAGGTTTTGTTCCCAATGCTTTACTAACATGGGAAGCTCAAAGCTCTAGTGGTGATTACAACGATAATATGAATAAAGATAATTATTATAAATGGGTCACAGAAAAATTACTACCAAATTTAATTAAAAATTCTGTTGTGGTATTGGATAATGCCGACTTATCATTGTCATCAATCTAATCGTGCTTAAAACTCTAATAGTTTAAAAAAAGACATGATAAACTGCTTGACTGAAAATAATATAAGTTTTAATTCAATTATGTTTAAACCACAACTTTATGATATGATGCGTAAACGCAAAACAGTGATGATTAATATTCTTTAGATGATATATTAAATAAAGAAGGCTATGATATTATTAGACTACCACCGTATCGTCCGGATTTAAATCCCATTGAAATGATTTGGTCACAAATAAAACAGTACATTGCAAAACAAAACCATAATGGTAGCATCAAAAAAATTGCAGAACCATGTAAACAAAAAATGGAATCTATGGGTGATTCTGAGTGGGGAGCAGTTTGTGCAAACGTGAAAAAATTAGAAGCAGAAATGTGGAAAAATGAAAGTTATATGGACATCGAAATCGATAAATTAATAGTAACGTACGGAGCAGTGGCGTGCGGTCAGGACAAGCTAGGTAAGCGGCGCATGTCGACTCCGACCCCTGGGGCCTGCCTTACAAAGTTGTGTCTAAGCGTATAGGCCGTCGACGACCGGGAGCTGAAGCACGCGGAAGGGAGATGGAAATAGCCGATCACCTGTTTCCAAACCTTCCACCTACCGACTGGACGCTGAGCCCTCTGTTGACCGAAAACGACGACAACGACTATCGCTTACCCCCGGAGTTTACCCCTGTCGAACTCGCCGAGGCCTGCAGGAGACTCCCTTCCGGAAAGGCTACCGGCCCGGACGGAATCCCTAATGAGTTGCTGATCAAAGTATTCAAGATCAGGCCCCGAGCACTCCTTGATGCTTTTAACGCCTGCCTGACGAACACCACCTTTCCCGTTCGATGGAAACAGGCGAGACTGGTGCTACTGCACAAAGGTTCAGGCAAACCACTAGCTGAG